TACAGATGAGGAAACACAAGTACAGAAGGTAAAAACTTTCCCCAAATCATAGGACCAATAAGGGGCTGTATTACTTCAGGTAACGCTAATTGTTGCTATAAATGAACCTCAAAATTTACAAAGGCTCAAAAACGAAGGGGTTTATTTCTTTCTCATATAATCGTACTGAAGTAGGAAACATATTTGCAGGCTGGCTCTCTTTCCCACAGTCATCCTGGCTGTGGGAGGCTCTGCCATTTTCAGTTGGTAGCTTCTAAGGTCACCTGGGAACTGTGTCCCTTCCTGCAGCCAGAAGAGGAAAAGAGCATGGAATAACATGTGTGGGAGTGTTTTATTGACCAGGTCTAGGAATAGCAAATACGTTTATTAACATTCCATTGACTAGAACTCAACTATTGTTGACACCTAAATGCAAGGAAGACTGGGAGATCTATGAATCTCTTGCCGCTGTGGCTTAGAAGGGATTCAAACTCCATCCAAATGGCTATACAGCCTATGCTCTCCACCTCAAACCAGATCAGTATTTTCTAAGTCTGATGAGTAGGCCCAGTATAATGTAACCACCAAGTTGTAAACATTTAATGAATGACCAGAAAGAAAAAAAGACATTATAAATTTTGTCCTTTGACTGCACAACACATGCATGCAAAAGTTAGAAGAAAAGGTACCGTGTGTAAATGCTTGACTCCAAGGCAGTGAATCTTAAAGTATACTCTTGGAACTCCTAGAGGTTTCCAAGACCCTTTCAGGTGGTCTGTGAGATCAAACCCTTTTTCATAGGACAGACATGCCATGGAGACATTGCAGGTTCAGTTCCAGATCATTGCAATAAAGCAAATATCACAATAAAGTGACTCATAACACTGTTTTTGCTTTCCCAGTGCATATAAAAGTTATGTTTACATTATACTGTAGTATATTAAGTGTACAACAGAATTATATCTAAAAAAACCCAATGTGCATACCTTAATTTAAAAACACTGTGTTGCTGACAATCGTCTGAGCCTTTAGCAACTCAATCTTTTTGCTGGTTGAATGTCTTGCCTCTATATTGAGGGCTACTCACTGATCAAGGTGGTGGTTGCTGAAGATTGGGGTGGCTGTGGCAATGTCTTAAAATAAGGCAACAATTAAGTCTGCCACATAGATGGACTCTTCCCTTCTCTGTAGCATGTGATGCTGTTTGATAGCATTTTACTCACAGTAGAACTTCTTTTCAAAATTGGTGTCAGTCTTCTCAAACCCTTTCACTGCTTTATCAACTAAGTTTATATAATATTCTAAATCTTTTGTTGTCATTTCAACAATGTTCAGTGTCTTCACCAGTAGATTCCATATCAAGAAACCACTTTCTTTGCTCACCCATAAGAAGCAGCTCCTCATCTGTTAAAGTTTTATCATGAGATTGCAGCAACTCAGTCCCACCTTCAGGCCCCACTTCTAATTCTAATTGTCTTGCTATTTCTGCCGCATCGATAGCTACTTCCTCCTCTGAAGTCTTGAACCCCTCAGTGTCATCCATGAGGGTCAGAGTCAACTTCTTCCAAACTCCTGTTAATGTTGACATTTTGACCACCTCCCATGAATCACAAATATTCTTAATCACATCTAGAATGGTAAATCCTTTCTGGAAGGTTTTCAATTCACTTTGCCCAGTTCTATCAGAGGAATCACTATCTATGGCAGCTATAGTCTTACAAAATGTATTTCTTAAATAATGAAACTTGAAGGTCAAAATTACTCCTTCGCCCATGGGCTGCAGAATGGACGTTGTGTTAGTAGGCATGAAAATAGCATTTATCTCTTTGTACATCTCCGTCAGAGCTCTTGAGTAAACCATGCTATAAACAAATGCGCCATCATCTGGGTTTTGTTATTTCATTTATAAAACACAGGCGAAGTACATTTAGCATAACTTTAAGGGCCCTAGAATTTTCAAGATGGTAAATGATCACTGACTTCAACTCAAAGTCACCATCTGCCTTAGCCCCTAGCAAGAGAATCATCCTGTCTTTTGTAGTTTAGAAGCCAGGCATTGACTTCTCCTCTCGAGCTATAAAAGTCCTAGGTGGGATCTTCTTCCAATAGAAGCCTGTTTGTCTACATTGAAAATCTGTTGTTCAGTGTAGCCACCTTCATCAATGATCTTCGCCAGATCTTCTGGATAACTTGCTGCAGCTTCTGCATCAGCACTTGCTGCTTCATCTTGAACTTTTATGTTATGGAGACAGCTTATTTCCTTAAACCTCACGAGCCAACCTCTGCCAGGTTCCAACTTTTCTTCTGCAGCTTCCCCACTTCTCTCAGCCTTTATAGAAATGAAGAGAGTTAGGGCCTTGCTCTGGATTAGTTTTGGCTTAAGGGAATGTTATAATTGGTTTGATCTTCTATCCAGACCACTCAAACTTTCTCCATATAAGCAACAAGGCTGTTTTGCTTTCTTATCATTCATGTGTTCACTGGAGTAGCACTTTTGCTTTCTTTCAGAACTTTTCCTTTGCTTTCATGTCTTGGATAACTGTTTAGTGC